CGGTTAAGCGTCCGACTTCAGCCAGGTCACGATCTCGCGGTCCGTGAGTTCGAGCCCCGCGTCAGGCTCTGGGCTGATGGCTCGGAGCCTGGAGCCAGTTTCCGATTCTGTGTCTCCCTCTCTCTTTGCCCCTCCCCCGTTCATGCTCTGTCTCTCTCTGTCCCAAAAATAAACGTTGGAAAAAAAAAATTAAAAAAAAAAAAAAAAAAAAAGTAAAGAAAAATCACCTTCATCATAAAATGGAATACCATACAACAGAGACAATGAGTGCACTAACTCTCATGTGTCAACAGGGATAAGTGTCAAAACATGATGTTGAGTAAGATAAAGCCAAGTGGAAAAATGTTATGAGCCAAATTATATAATTTATGTAAAAATTGTATTTTATTTTATTTTAAATGTTTATGTATTTTGAGAGAGAGAAATAGAGCAGGGGAGGGGGCAGAGAGAGAGGGACACACACACACAATCCCAAGCAGGCTCCACGATGTCAGTGCGGAACCTGATGTGGGGCTCGATCCCATGAACCGTGAGATCATCACCTGAGCCAAAATAAACTGACTGAGCCACCCAGGTACCCCTATGTAAAAATTTTAAATATATGAGCATTAGTACATATTTTTGTAGATACATACCTATGTAAAAATATAGGAGCAGGGGCGCCTGGGTGGCTCAGTCGGTTAAGCGTCTGACTTCGGCTCAGGTCATGATCTCACAGTTCGTGAGTTCGAGCCCCGCGTCAGGCTCTGAGCTGACAGCTCAGAGCCTGGAGCCTGCTTCACATTCTGTGTCTCCTTCTCTCTCTGCCCCTTCCCTGCTCATGCTGTGTCTCTCTCTGTCTCAAAAATAAATAAACATTAAAAAAAAATTTAAAAATATAGGAGCATCTGGGTGGCTCAGTGGGTTAAGTGTCTGACTTCTGCTCAGGTCATAATCTCACGGCTGGTGAGTTCAAACCCTGCGTTGGGCTCTTTGCTGACAGCTCAGAGCCTGGAGCTTGCTTTGGATTCTGTCTGTCTGTCTGTCTGTCTCTCTCCTGTCTTGTGTCCTATCTCTCTGTCTCTCAAAAATAAATGTTAAAAAATTAAAAAAAAAAAAAAAAGATGTACCACAAGATTAATGTTTCGTGCTTGCTGACACAACATCCACTCTACAGTAGCTGGATCAAGGAGCCCTTTTACCTTTCAAGCCTTATTATTTAAGAAATACAGACGTGGGGGCGCCTGGGTGACTCAGTCAATTGAGCGTCTGACTTCGGCTCAGGTCATGATCTCAAGGTTTGTGAGTTCGAGCCCACATCAGGCTCACACACTCACAGGGTGTGGCTTTCTTGGGATTCTCTCTCTCTATCATAATAAAGAAATAAATTAAAAAAAAAATAGAGAAATACAGGTATGCCTGGGTGGTTCCATCAGTTGAGCGTCCGACTCTTGATGTTGGCTCGGGTCACGATCTCATGGATCATGAGATCAAGCATGAAGCCTGCTTGGGATTCTCTTTCTCCCTCTCTCTCTCTGCCCCTCTTCTGTGTGTGTGCTCTCTCTCTCTCTCTCTCTATCAAAATAAATAAATAAATAAATATTAAAAAAAGGAACATCTGTGATTCATGGGAAGAGGTCAAGATAGTAACAGTAATAGGTGCTTGCTTCACAGACGCATTTACTAAAGTTGGAACAGTACAGAGATTAGCACGGCCCCTGGGAAGGATGATATGTGAAATCTTGAAAAAAAATCAACATTAATAGAAGTTAGGAAGAATTAAAAAATTTTTATTTTATTTTAGAGAGAGAGAGACACACCACACACACACACACACACACACACACACACACACACAGAGTGTGAGTGGGGGAGGGACAGAGGGAGAGGGAGACCCAGAATCTGAAATCTGAAGCAAGCTCCAGGCTCTGAGCTGTCCGCACAGAGCTTGATGTGGGGCTCGAACTCATGGACCATGAGATCATGACCTGAGCTGAAGTTGGACACTTAACTGACTGAGCCACCCAGGTGCCCTGAAGTTTGGAAGGATTTGATTCCAACCCTCGTGGAGGACTTTGAGGGGTTCGAGACTTCGGAGAGGAGGAAGTAGCTGTGGATGTGGTGGAAAGAACAAGAGAACTAGAATCAGAAGTGGAGCCTGAAGACGGGACTGAATTGCTACAAGCTCATGTCAGAACATGAACAAATGAGGAGCTGCTTCTGATGGATGAGCACAGAAAGTGTTTTTTTTTTTTTAAGTTTACTTATATTTGAGAGAGAGAGACAGAGAGAGAGAGTGCGTGGGGGAGGAGCAGAGAGAGAGGGAGAGAGAGAATCCAAAGCAGGCTCCACATTGTCAGCACAGAGCCCGACGTGGGGCTTGAACTCAGGAACCATGAGACCATGACCTGAGCCAAAGCCAGACATTTAACCAACTCAGCCACCCGGGCGCCCCTGAAGAAAGTGGTTTCTTGAGACAGAAGCTGCTCCTGGTGGAGAGGCTGTGAAGACTGATGAACTGACAACAGAAGTTTTGGAATTTTATGTAAATATAATTGATAAAGCCACGGCAGGAGGTGAGAGGACCGATTCCAGTTTTGAAAGAAGCTCTACCGCGGGGAAAATGCTATCACACAGCAGCACATGCTGCAATCATTCGTGAAAGGAAGAGTCAATGGATGTGGCAAACTTGACCGTTGTCTTATTTTAAGAAACTGCCACAGCCACCATAACCCTCAAGCCTCCAGCACCCTGATCAGTCAGCAGCCATCAGCAAGGAAGCAGGACCCTCCACCAGCAGAAAGATTGATTTGCTGAAAGCTCAGATGAAGGTTAGCATTTCTTTTCAGCAATAAATTAGTTTTTAAAAATTTTTTAAACATTTATTCATTTTTGAGAGACAAAGAGAGACAGAGCATGAGTGGGGAAGGGGCAGAGAGAGGGAGACACAGAATCCGAAGCAGGCTCTGGGCTCTGAGCTGTCAGCACAGAGCCTGACGTGGGGCTTGAACTCACGGACCGCTAGATCGTGACCTGAGCCGAAGTCAGATGCTCAACCGACTGAGCCACCCAGGCGCCCCAGCAATAAATTAGTTTTTAATTAAGATATGCACATTGTAGGGTGCCTGGGTGGCTATGTTGGTTAAGCGTCCAACTCTTGGTTTTGGCTCAGGTCCTGATCTCACCATTTGTGTGTTTGAGCCCCACGTCGGGCTCTGCGATGACAGTGCAGAGCCTGCTTGGGATTCGCTCTCTCTCTCTCTCTCTCTCTCTAAATAAATAAATAAATAAATAAATAAACTTCATTTTTTAAATTAAAAAGATTGTCTTTTTAGACATAATGCTATTGCACGCTTATGAGACTACAGTATAGTGCAAACCTAACTTTTATATGCACTGGGAAACCAAAAAATTCATTTCACTCGCTTTATTGCAATACTTGCTTTGTTGTAGTGTTTGGAACTGAACCCACACTATCTCTAAGGTACGCCTGAGTTGGTCTCTCCAACCTCTTGGGCTTTTTCTCTGGATTTCCCTAACTCTCTTCACCTTTCTCTCCCTCTTTTTTTAAGTTTATTTATTTATTTTGAGAGAGACAGATAGAGTGTGAGCAGGGGAGAGGCAGAAAGAGAGGGAGAGAGGGAGAATCCCAAGCAGGGTCTGTCGGCAGAGGCCGACATGGGGTTCGAACCCATGAACCTGTGAGATCATGACCTGAGATGAAATCAAGAGTCGGAAGTTTAACCAAAGGAACCACCCAGGCCCCCAGCATTTTTTTCCCTCTCTTTCTCTCCCTGCCTCCCCACAAGTTTCTGGACCCCAAGAAGTAAAGGCAGTGTGGGCTGGCAGCAGGGAGCATGGTGCTGGGAGTGCCTCTTGCTTCTGGCTGTTCTCCGGGGGTGTCCTTCTTTCTACACTCAGTCTCTCCTTGGGTGTCCAGAAATGGCCCCTTTCTGCCCTCCCTTCCTTCTCTGGCTCCCTTAGGCAGGAATTGGTGCTTTGTGCCAGGGATGAGGCTGGGATCAGGGACGCAGAAATAGGACAGGCACAGGAGACAGGTCAGGGGAACCCAACAACGTGGAGGTGACCTTGCCACGCCCCCCATGGCATTCCAGGGGAGCAAAGCCTGTGCCCTGAGCCACAGACCCAGAAGGCCACCAGACCTCTCTTTATCTCCTCCTGTCCTCTGTGAATCCAAGAGGAGAGCCCCACCCACTTCCTTCCTCTCCCTTGCACCCACCTCTCTCAGTGAGGGAATTCCGAAAATATGAGGGAAGGCACTGGAAACCCAGCCTAAAGGTTCTTGGAAGACCTGGAAGGCTGGGTTTGGGGAATGCACATCTCCAATACCACTGAAGGTAAATCCATGTGAGTTATGGCAAAATAGATGTAGTGAAACTCTGTGTCATTCAACCGAAGGGTCGATTCTGTTTGAATCTGATAACACAAATGTCAAAGAAAAGAAAATATGGGCATGGTTCTTTTGTAAAGAGCTACATTTTAAACACGTTTCCATCCTTGAGATAGATAAATAGATATCTACACAAAAATCCACCTACAGAATTCCCATTAGAGTTAGAATCATTCCAGGAGAGGATGGTTGTGTGATTGGGTCAGTTTTATTCGAAGAGGGCAGCTTTCAGACTGAGTGATACTAATATATATTATTTAATAGGGACACAATATGGGGTGGTGGTTAAGCAAATAGGCTCCGCTCAGGGTTCAAATCCCAGCCCTTCTGCCTCCATTGTGGAATCTTAGGCAAATGAGTCATTAACGGCTCCGGGCCTCAGTTTACCTTTCTGTGAAATGGAGCCAATTTAGAATGAGAAGGCTTTTACTACTGGTTAGATATTAGAACAGCGCCTGGTATAGAGAACATGCTCAGTGAATGGAGCACTCCTGTTTTTTTAATAATGTACCCACATCTCATATTCATTGGTCCTTATAATTTTCCCTGGAGTGTTCTCTTCCCTAGACAGATGAAAAAAACTGAGGTTCAGCGAGGACCTCGGTGACAGTCGGAAGAGGGTGCGGGGAAGACAGTCGAGGTAGAGAAGTTTGCACCTCAGACCCAGGAGGGTTCTAATTCCCCGCACGGCCAGGTTGGCCCCACAAGAGGCGTCCTTGGTGGAGAGCTTTGGACGTTGGAAATAGGGAGTGAGCACGTTAGCTAGGACACCCATTCATTTCCCTCCTCAACAAACATAGTTAGTGTTCCTGCGAAGGCCCTTGAAATACCTTGAAATAAGTCAGTGAAAGACAGCCCTGCCACCGGCTGTCAGTAAGGCACCCAGAGGAGTAAACAGGAAATTACAATAAGGAGAGACGATTGTGCTGCCAGGGAAAAGTGCCTGGCGCCTGAGGAGTCCAGGGCGCCTGGCCAGCATGGCCTGGGGAGCAGGCGTGCAAGTTCTCTTAGAAGGCCTCCCACAAGACTGGCCGAGCTTGAAGCCAGCTGAGGTCTAGGCGAGGGCGGGGGTTCGGAGAGGAAACAGGAAGAGAAGGCAGAGGCCGAAGGTGCGCTGGGGGCAGAGGGCGACCCTGCTGCAGGGAGGAGGAACAGAATCCAGATGAGGAAGAGCCTGAGCCAAGATGGAGGTCAAACAGCGGGGTGAATTCAGGAAATGTCCGGTGCGCGCGAGGCGGGGGCTGGAAACAGTGCTTGGGCGAGTCTGGGTGGTTCTGACTAGCTGGTGCCACTAAGGGAACGAGGGACAGCAGACTCACTCTGGGGGACGGGTTGAGGAAGCCAAGTTTCCAACAAGGCGAAGGTGCTTCTGCAAGACCCACAGGACCTGGAGGCTCACGTCTCTGGCAGGAGCGTGTGCAGCGGTTAACCTCGGGCAGCGTGGGAGAAATGTGGCGCATTGGGCGAGAGAATGAGGCTGCAGAGGCGATGGGCAGGAGGGGCACCTCCAGCGGACCTGCCTGTGGAGACAGAATAAACGCAAGGAGAAATGCGAGGGGTGTGAAAGTGCAGCGATAGACTCCCAAAAGGGAGATTTAACAAATTGAAAAAAAAAAAAAAAAAAAAAAAGAAATTTATTTTGTAAATAAATGCACCCACAGATACAAACACACAAAGGCATTGAGAAACAGGAAGTGGTTATCCTGGGAAGTAGGCTTAAAGGTGAATTTTGGTTTTCTTCTGTGTGCTTTTCTCTATTTTCCATGTTCTAATGAGAATATGTAATCCTGGGGGGCGTCTGGGTGGCTCAGTCGGTTAAGCATCCACCTTCTGCTCAGGTACCAATCTCTTGGTTGGAGCCTCACCCCTGGCTTCGCACTGATAGCTCAGAGCTTGCTTGGGATTCTCTCTCTCTCTCTCTGTCTCTCTCAATGTCTCTCCTGCACACGCATGCTCTTTCTCTCAAAAATAAACAAACATAAAAAAAAAAGAATATGTAATCCCAGAAGTCAAAGGACACAATAAATGTTATTTACAATAAGAAGAGTCTTTATGGGGCGCCTGGGTGGCGCAGTCGGCTAAGCGTCCGACTTCAGCCAGGTCACGATCTCGCGGTCCGGGAGTTCGAGCCCCACGTCGGGCTCTGGGCTGATGGCTCAGAGCCTGGAGCCTGTTTCCGATTCTGTGTCTCCCTCTCTCTCTGCCCCTCCCCCGTTCATGGTCTGTCTCTCTCTGTCCCAAAAATAAATAAACGTTGAAGGAAAAAAAAAAAAAAAAGAAGAAGAGTCTTTATAGAGCCAGATGTCACCAAGAGGTCAAATGTCACCAGGACGAATGAGGAACTAGAGGGGTTTTGGGACATGGCTCTGAGAGGGGACAGGTGGCCTGAGGAAAGCAGTTCTGCTGGAGTGAAAGGGAGGAGTGGGGTCCGTGTGGCAGGCATTAAAACCCAGTGGAGGGGTGCCTGGGTGGCTCAGTCAGTTAAGCGTCCGAATTCAGCTCAGGTTATGATCTTGTGGTTCACAAATTCAAGCTCTGGGTCGGGCTCTGTACTGACAGCTCAGAGCCTGGAGTTGCTTTAGATTCTGTGTCTCTGGCTCTCTCTGCCCCTCTGCCTCTCACGCTCTGTCTCTCTGTCTGTCTCTCTCTCTCTCTCAAAGGTAAATAAATAAACATTAGGGGAAAAAAAACAGTGGAAAGACAAATGACAAACAAAGGGAAATGTTCGCAGCCCCTATGGCAGAACAAAGACAAATCTTCCTAAAATATAAATAGCTCCTAGACTTGTATAAGGAAAAACACAAAAGCCTAGTATAAAATTGGACAAAGAATATACAGAGGCAGCTCACAGAAAATGAAATGCTAGCAAAACGGGAGTCTTAGCTCAGTTTCAACTTGCAATAAGAAAAATGCAAATTATGAGGACACTGAGAAACAATTTTGTTTCTACCAGATTAGAGATATGTAAAAGTTTTACCACATACCGTGTTGATGTGGGGAGATATGCACTCTTTTATATTGCTGGTGGCAGTATAAATTCCCCCGATTTGGAGGGAGCTTAATATATATAATGAATTACTGACGTATATGCTTTTTGTAAATTTTGCTTTTAAGATTTATTCATTTTTCAGGGACAGACAAAGCATGAATGGGGAAGGGGTAGAGAGAGAGGGAGACACAGACTCCAAAGCAGGCTCCAGGGTCTGAGCCATCAGCACAGAGCCCGAAGCGGGGCTCGAAATCACAGACCTCCAGATCATGACCTGAGCCGAAGTCGGATGCTTAACCAACTGAGCCACCCAGGCGCCCTGATGTATATATTTTTTAACTTAATATCCCACTTGTAGAAACGTATCTTCTAGAAATCTCTGCATTATATGAAACGCCATGTGTGGTGTCATTCATTGTAGCATTGGTTATAATAGTTGAAGATTGGGAACAACTGTCAGGAAAGAACAGATAAGTCAACGTCAAGACTTCACTACATAGTGAGATCCTATGCCGCTATGAAAAAATCATACAGAACCTCTCTGTGCACCAATAGAAAAATATCTCCAAGGTATCTATTTTAATTACTTTAAAAAATAAACTATTTTTTAAAGTTTATTTTATTATTTATCTTTGAGGGGGAGGGGCAGAGAGAGAGGGAGACAGAGGATCTGGGCTCTGCGTTGACAGCAGCGAGCTTGATGTGGGGCTCGATTCACGAACAGTGAGATCATGACTTGAGCCGAAGTCGGACACTTAACTGACTGAGCCACTCAGGCGCCCCACCTATTTATTTGAGAATAGTTTTACATTTACAGAGAAATTGTGAAGATAGTACAGACTATTTCTGTATCCCCCACACCCAATTCCCCCTATAATTAGCATCTGACCTTAGGATAGTACGTTCGGTACAATTAAGGAACTGATATTGATACATTAGTATTAACTGAAACCCATACTTTATTCAGATTTCCCTAGCTTTTACCCAGTGTCCCTTTTCTGTGCCAGGGTCCCATCCAGGAGACCACATGACACTTAGTTGTCTTTTTCTCCTTAGGTTCCTCCTCTGTGTCTCAGACTTTCCTTGTTTTGGTGACCTCGACAGTTTTGAGGAATCCCGGGCAGGTGTTTTGCAAAATGTCCCTCAGGTGAGATTTGTCTGTTTTTCTCATGATTAGACTGGGGTTTTGGGGTTGGGGGGAAAGAAACCAAAGAAGTAAAAAGCCATTCCTGTTGACGCTGACCTTGATCAGCTGCCTGAAGTTGTGTTTGTCAGGTTTCTCTACCATGAAGTTACTCTTTCCTCCCACTTTTCATACTGCCCTCCTTGGAAGGAAGTCACTAGGTGCTGCCCACACTTAAGGGGTGGGCAATCACGCTCCACCTTTGACGTAGTCTCATCGTTGTGTTCTTTGTTTTTGCTATTATTTTGAGCATTTCCTTACTTTCTGGCACAAGACGCGTTGGGCTCATCTTATACCTTTCCTGCACCAGCTCTAGAATCAGACATTTCTCCCACAAGCCCCAGTTCTGTTTATTGGTGAATGGTATTAGAAACCAAGTACTGGGCACTTGGTGTGCTCATTGCTACTGGAGTGTTGTTGCTTTGGGCCCTCTCAGCCTGCAGAGGAAGGAAATGCGTGTGTGTATACTGACCCCAGTATACACACATATCTATAAATATATTGTATGTAGTCATCTGTATCTATGTTAAGCTAAACATGAATTCATATTGATATCTCCAAGTCTGATCTATGACCACATGGATCATCTAGCCTCTTTTCCTGGCTTATCTGTAATATTCCCAAGATAATAATTTTTTTTTTTTTTAAGAAAAAAAGGAGGGTGCAGGGGCACCTGGGTGACTCAGTCAGTTGAGCGTCCGACTTTGGCTCAGGTCATGATCTCGAGGTCTGTGAGTCTGGGCTCCGCATCGGGCTCCGTGCTGACAGCTCAGGGCCTGGAGCCTGCTTCGGATTCTGGGTCTCCCTCTTTCTCTGCCCCTCCCCCACTCATGCTCTGTCTCTCTGTCAAAAATAAATAAACATTAAAAAAAATTTAAGAAAAAAAGGAGGGTGCAGACTGATGAGTATACCAGGCTACCTTTTGTGCAAAGAGGGTAGAGAAATAAAATATGTTTGGGGGCACCTGGGTGGCTCAGTCAGTTAAACATCCGACTCTTGGTTTCGGGTCATGATCTCACGGTCCGTGAGTTCGAGTCCCACATCTGGCTCCGTGCTGACAGCTCAGAGTCTGGAGCCTGCTTCGGATCCTATGTCTCCCTCTCTCTCTGTCCCACCCCTGCTCATGTTCTGTCTCTCTTCGTCTTTCAAAATTGAATACATGTTTAAAAAAAAAATTTTTTTTAAAGGTTAAGATGGGAAAGTTTATATTCTGTTGAAACCGTCATTTAAAAAAGGTACAAAAAAGTTATTTTGTTCATTTTGCTTTACTGTTTTCCACTCAGCATATTTTCAGAATCTTATAGCCGTGGCTGTGTGGTGTCCAGTCTACTGCTCCTGTTATGTGGTAGTCCATAGTTTTTCTAGCACATTCTATTTTTTAAATTGAGAAATAATTGACATATGACATTATATTATATTAGTTTATATACATTATAAACATTATATTGGT